ACTTCCTTCAGATGTTCATATCCTACTATCTTGTCCTCAGCTTTCTAGCCCAGAAATGGCCTGTTTCCTAAAAATGCCATTATTTATATGCTGACTATTATTAACCATGTTCAAGTGACACCAGAATAATATTTTTTATATTTCGTGATTCAAAATGTAATACTGTTGACCCTTGAACAACATAGGCATGAACTGTGTGAGTTTGCTTATACCTGGATTTTTTTCAGTAACGACAGAACAGCACTACAAACATATTTCCTTTGAAGTGAAAGACCTATACTCTGAAAACTATAAAACACTGATGAAAGAAATTAAAGATGACACAAACAAATGGAAAGATATCCCATGCTCATGGACTGGAAGAATTAATATTGCTAAATGTCCATATTACCCAAAGCAATCTACGGATTGAATGCAGTTCCTACCAAAATACCAACAGCATTTTCATAAAACTAAAACAAATAATACTAAAATTTTCATAAAGCTAAAACAAATAATACTAAAATTTGTATGGAACCACAAAAAAACCCAAAGCAATCTTGAGAATGAAGAACAAAGCTGGAGGTATCACAAGTCCAGATTTCAAGTGATACTACAAAGCTGTAGTAATCAAAACAGTATGGTACTGGCACAAAAACAGACACATTGATCAATGGAATGGGATAGAGCCCAGAAATAAACCACACCTTCATGGTCAATTAATCTATAACAAAGGAGGCAAGAATATATAATAGGGAAAGTCTTTTCAAAAATTGGTGCTGGGAAAGCTGGACAGCTACATGCAAAAAACAAAAAAAACAACAACAAAAAAAAACGAGACTGGCCCACTTTCTAACACCATACACACGAAAAGAAATTCAAAATGGATTAAAGACCTAAATGTGAAACCTGAAATCCTTACAATTTTCTTAATAACATTTTTTCTAGCTTATTTAATTATAAGAATAGAGTATTAAGACATATAGCATACAAATGTGTGTTAATCAACTGTTTATGTTATTGGTAAGGCTTCTGATCAACAGTAGGTTATTAGTAAAGTTTTGAGGGAGTCAAAAGTTATACATGGATTTTCCAGTGCATGGGGGGTTGGCGCTCCTAACGTCTATGTTGTTCAAGGGTTAACTATAGTCACATAGAGCAGACTCACATCCTTAGACTAGCACAGAACTTCTTACAGATAAATCTATTTGGGAAATTAGTGCTCATGCTCAGGCATGATTCACATTTTTAAGAGCATCAGGATTATGACAACCCTCTTCTCAGTAAAGGCACAATGCGCTGAGGACCACAATATGCAAGGAAGCTCGTTCCTCGGGCAGTGCTGCCCATGCAGAGACACCTGGTTTTTCTAGCTTCTTTTTCTGGTCATCTCCAGTTAGGCTGACACCTTGGGCCAAGGGCGGAAACAGGATTTGGTAGGTGTTTTCCTTCTTATTCACCTTTGGTAGTACGGTTTGCCTTTCTCATCCCAAATGGGAAACTTCATTCAGGTCTTACATGGTGATTTTAAGGCCTATTGCTTAGTGTCTGGGAGGTTTCCTGCTGGCATCTCTCTTGTAGCATCTACAGAGTGCCATTTACCTGACAGCTTGTGTTACTATCCGGGTAATGATTTCAATATGTTTACTGCCCCGTAGATAAAGGAGAAATATGCCTTTCACTATGCCTTTACAACTTTAAAAACTAATGTTTCGTTGGAGAGCTCAGAAATTAAACTAACAAGGGCACTTTCAGTGGATCTGAACCCTTTACAGATGTTGATCACCAGATTCTTAAAAACTTAGCAGTGCTGTATTAAGAATCTCTACAAATCCACTTTTTTTTTTTTTAAAGATTTTATTTATTTAAGAGAGAGAGAATGAGAGATAGAGAGCACGAGAGGGAAGAGGGTCAGATCCACTTTTAAATCCAAAGTAGAAAGCTATTCCTAATGAATCAACCAGTGAACCAAAAAGAGATAGTGAGACTTAGGTTCTGATTCGATTTGGTAACTTATGCACTGCTCATTATGTAAGAGATGTAACAGTGGGAAGTAGGTGGGCCTGGGGGATGGGGTCAGAAGTTCACAATGGGGGTGGCAAAATATTTTATTCAAAAGAGCCCAAGAAAGGAAGAATTCATTGGAAATCACAACGGCCTAATATATAGGACCACCTCACTTTCAATATAGTTCCAGAATTCCTTTTTAAAGGGGGATCTCCTAAGACCATTAAACTAACTCCTTCCTTTAATTTCAACTGTCTGAGCTAGGTGTGCCAAGGCTGCTATGGACAAATGATGTGTCCCTCCCCATTTTCATATGCTGAGGCCCTGACCACAGTGTGATGATATTTGGAGATGGAGCTTTAGGGAGGGTAATTCGGTTTAGATGAGGTCATGAAGGTGGAGCCCCCATAGTTATCATCCTAGTAAGAAGCAGAGGAGAGACAAGAGCTCTTTCTCTCCAGATACACACTCAGAGGAAAGGCTGCTGAGCACCCTCTGAGAAGAGAAGAAGCCAGCCATCTACAAGGCAGGGAGAGGGTCCTCACTAAGAACTGACTCTATGAGAATCCTGCAGGATTTCCAGGCTCTGCAACCATGAACAAAGAATGTCTATCATTTGAGGCACCCAGTCTTTGGTATTTTGTCATAGCCTGAGTTTACACAAAGGCAAAATACAACTTTAAGATCTGGATTGTGGTCAAGGTCAAAACTAAACCAATGCATTGGACTCTGGAGGCTCTGAGGGGCCCAAGAGAGTTCACTCCTAGAGATGCTGGGTAGGCAGTGCTAAGGTGAAAGACAGGAAAATCAGAGCACAGATGAGTAGACCTACCTTCTGATCTTGCCTAGAAGTTTGTCCCACTGCCTCCATCCAGCAGATGCCTGGGGGCGAAGGCAGAACCTAATGCAGGTACCAGGGGGGCAGTGGGAACATCACACACCTACGCCTTCTCTACTTTGGGAAGGTCTCCTCCAAAAGAAGTTTCTAAAAACACTCAGCCTCTTAGCTTAGTCCAGCATATGAAAGTCTTTGGAAGCCTAGCTTAACCAAACCCACTTCCCCTGCTCCCATTTTAGTACTATGGATGGAGAAATTTTGTCCCAGAGCCCATATTTTTTTAAATTATACCACTGATTGCTAATATAGTTAGAAAAAAGGTTATTTGTTAAATAGGAGATTTTCCTTGTAGAAGAAAAACTTTTTTTTTTTTTTTTACTTTACTCTTTGGGGGTTTATACATAAAAACAGTACATATATATTGGAGAAAATTTGTAATATGACTGATGGTATAAATAAAAAAAGTTCAAATCACCTGTTACCCTATTAGCTAGGGAGATACCACTTTTTAATATGTTTATTTCAGCATAGTCTTCATTTTATAATATATATATATATATATACACACACACATTATTGTATATATATTTGATCATATAAATATAATTTTAAAATTAAAAAATATAATATGCAAAATTTAAATTGTGGAATTTATTGTTTTATACCAGTTTTTCCACTTAACAACATAAGCTTAAGTAGATCATTAAATGGTCTTCCATGACATTATTCTTAACTGTTGCAAAATGCATTTTTGTACTGAGGTAACATAAATTAACTAAACCTCTAATGATGGAAATAATACTGTTTCTGATTTTTCATTATTATAAACTGCCATGAAAATCCTTGTAGTTAATTATTTGCAACCATTCTTCCTTATTTCCTTGGGATGAATTCCTAACAGTAAATTGCTAAATTTAGACCTATCTAAATTTTTAACACTTTTAAAAGAAGTGTACCTTTAAAAGATTTTAACAATTTATGTGTGTACTATTTAACAATTTACATGTGTACTGTTCAAGACACATGAATTTCTCAATCATTAAATTCTAGAAATTGTTGCAGGTAAAAGGGTACACAGACAAATCAGGCACAACAGTGACAGCCCATTTATTCCCATTATCAAATCCAGGGGTAGAGGAACTGGAATTGATGCATCTTCCCTAATAAACACCAAACCTGCAGAATGGATTCCTGGGTGTTGTTCCTGCCATTAGGAAGACAAGCAGCCCTTGAGGAGACTCAGTTTTCCCTCCCTGAGTCTAGCCCAGCACCTCAATTAAATTGAGAGATGATCTTGGATCCATGTTCCAGCTGGCTCCTGAGCAAGCCAAAGGAATTAAGAAAGAGGAAAGCAAAATATCTCAATCCTCCTAATGAATTCTTTTAGCGAGTACTCTCAAAATCAAGTTATTTTATAAAGGTGCTGTGGACAAAAGGAAAAAAAGCACCAAATGCCATTGTCATGATTTTTCCACCTTTGATCCTGAGTCCGGATGCCTTTGTGATACAAGTCACTCTCCGCCAGAAGGCAATGACGTCAGGGTTGCTTTGGTACCACTTTTGAACTGTTCCTGGCCTCCACCCTTTAGTTACTTTCAATGAGAGCTCCAAGTGGGTGACGTGGGTCTTAACAGAACATCGCGAATAACAGGACAGCAGCCCCACCACGACAAGGGCTTATCCTACATATGTTCTTTTCTTCCTGTTGCTTACAGGGATGGGAACAGGACCCTGCACCTTGCTACCTGGTCCATGAGGCTCACTTCTTAATGATTCACTTACTCCTGAGAGCAACTCATGAACAAAGGAGTCTCCTCTTTTAGAATCAAGTGCTATGTCTCTGTGGGTCAGATATGGCCCACTTAATATAGCACTTGCAGACAGCGCTTCCTGCCCTGCTTCAGGTTACTTAAAACAACATTTTTGTTTTTATTTTTCTTTTATTTTCTTAAAACAATATATGCATAAACAAGTTTGAAAGGTGTTCTTTACTCATTTCTCAAGGTAACTTACAAAGATTTAATATACTCCCTATCAAATAGCACAAGCTTCCTTAACATCAGTATTAAAAAAATACCTACACTTCTTACACATTCTCTGATTATACTAATACAAAAACTGTATTTTCAGAAGTTAGAAGATGCATCAAAACAGGAAATGAAAACAAAGAGCATACCTGATAAAAATTAGGCCAGAATGTACTAATGGCCAGTTCTGCCCTGTTCCACGTGCGGGTAGGGTCTCCAGATATGTTCCAGATAGGATTCCCCAAAGGCCCATTATTGACCTTCACATAGACATTGAGTAACCCAGGAGCAGTGTTACTCTTGCTGGATACAAAATAGTGAAAATCAATGCAATGGGTGTCGTTTTCTTTCAGCTGAGGTAAGAGGAGGTGGGCTCTCTGCCCCTCAGGTCTCCCAGATGTGTTCACCAGCATGAAAGAGCCTGTGGAAAGAAAATCAAAGGAGAGTTACAACCAGAAATACTACTTTCTGGTCATCTCTCAAAGCCACCATCATTTACGTGGTGGGTTGACACTGCAATGCCACATATCTTACTTAGGCTTTGAGAGCCCCATCTCTTTCACACTTTTTCACCTCAAAGAATTCTCAAGATCAGTGAATAGACAGTTCCCCTGAAATTACTGCATTTAGTCTCCTAAGTAACAAAAATATGCATAATTTGCTATCTTGCACTGATCATCTGGTAGTCACTAGCCACATGTGGCTATTTACATTAAAATTAAGTAAAAACCCATAATATTAAAAGCTTAGGTCCTCAGCCACACTAGCCACATTTCAAGTGCTGAATGGGCTCGTGTGGCTGATTGCTACCACACTGGGAAGCACAGATATTGAACGTTTCCATCAACTCAGAAAGTGCTATGGGACAACACTATTCTCTAACAGCTCCACCATTTGGCAATTGCAGCCCCTTTAATATTCCCGTGTAACCTAGAGAAAGAGAGAACACATTGGCCTGATTTGTGGAATCTTAGAAGACTTTACTGGCCCTATGATGTTCCTTGTTGCTAATATCATAACTTTCTTGCAGTTCATTGCCACCACCCCTCCCCCATTGCCATAACAAATGACTTCTTGATAGTGGAGGTGTTTTCATGACCAGCATGACCGAGCCTACTGATGCAATCATTGTGCCAATCAGAGGATGGTCATGCTTAGAAATCTCTATGAGCAATGTGTATCTTTACATCCATAGCACCAGCCCACCCATGACTGCTGAAGTGTTTCCACATGGATCCAAGCTTTCCAGATACCCTGGCATCAGCTGTGTCACTCGGGCCCTCCCCACGTCTAAGATCAATAGAAATGGCAATTAAAATAATTGTATGAATTTTATATATCATATATTTGCTTTCATCTTTCTGTATGTAAATATAAAGTCTTTATGTAAATATAAAGAAAGATGAAAGCAAAATGTTTGAGATAAAAGGGAAAACAGAATATCATAAAGCATTTTTGGCAGACAGGAAAAAATGTATTGAAACTCTGAGGGGAAAGAACACCTAAATTTGGAGCATAAAGATGAAAAAAGAAATACTATTCACATATGGTTGGATTCGTGCTTTCTACTGGGAGGAGGAGACTATTCCCCAGTTAAGTATTCTTTTTAAAATTTCCCTTATTGTGAACCATAATTTTCAAGGACGTGTGTGTGTGTGTGTGTGTGTGTATGTATGTATGTTTGTGTGTGTATGTATTTTAGTACACACTCAACAGATACCAAAAACATACATACACTACTAGAACAAGTGTAGATTTTTTTCTTGTCTACAAGCTGTGATTTCCTAAGCAGCAAAAGAAGACCACCTTTCCCAGAGAATTATTATGAGGACAAAATAAAAAACCCAAATGTACGCGTATCTTTTATAAATTAATAGGCTACTGTTAAGGGATCAATATCAGACAATGTTTACCCTCGGCTGTTACCCCTACAGTGCCCCTGTGTAAGGGTAGCTGGGGGTAATGGCATTCAAGATAAACAGGAATTGAGTCACAGAGAGAGCAGGAAGCTGTTTATCCAGGTTTTAGGATGAGTTCGTGGTCAAACCAAAACTTCGAGCCTCTGAGCTTCCAGCTCACTACTCACCCTGTTACACTCCAATAACACGTTTCTTCACGTGCCGTTTGAGCGTATATGAAGAAAACAAAACCCCTTCACGACAGTGAAGGAAAATTACAGTCACTCTTTGAAAACAGAGCAATTTTTCAAAAGATGAATGTTATGCACCTGGAAATATGAAAGCCAAGCCACAAGGGAAGGGCTATCTATGGAACATATATTCCAGTAATAAGGAAGAACTACAAATGTGACTTAAGAATGAGTTGGGGGGCACAGAGAGGGGACAGGTGGCAAGAGAACATCACTGAAATGATTCAGGTTAGCTAGAGTCTATAAAATGTAAAAAAAAAAAAATCTTCAAAATATGCAGGGTAGACCAACCCCATCACAAATCTAAAGCTGGCTGTTGGTGTTTATAACACGACTTAAAAATCGTACTTTTCTCTTCTGAGTAAATATAAGCAGATCTTTTCTGTATTTGATCACGTGGGGCTCTGTTACCTGCAACATAGTTACAATGTATGTTCCTACCTACAGGGCCGACCATGACATGGCCTTGAGGTCAATGCTGAATCACCAAAACCTTTAGTACAAGAAAAGTATTTCTTTTTTTTTTATATTTAAATATTTTAATAATACTTTAACCATTTCCTTAGTATACATTTCTAGATATACAATTGCTTCATAAAATATTAAGACTTTTGATAATCATTTCCAAATTGCCAAATGGAAAGGTTGTGCTAAGAATTTTCCAGAAGCCTAATCCTTAAAATGGGTATTGCCATTTTTCCTTGCATTTGCCAATTTGATACTCATAATGGTACTTTACTTCTATTCTATCTTACAACAAATTCAGTTGAAAAATTTAAAGATATTCTTAGTCATGGTATGAAATAGACTTTCCAAGACTTTTGTTTATATTTTTAGATTGGTATTTTCCTTTTTCATTATGGACATAAATATGTTTGATAAGTAAAAAATCTCTGTTGTGAATGTTACAAAAATTTCCTCAAATTGTTTTTTGTGTTTAGGACTAATACATCTGATCATGAAGAGTATTTTCTCTTCAAAATATACTAGCCACATGGAGGCCCCACATATCCTAAATGTGTTTATTTAATGCTATGTTTTGCTTTCTTACATAAAATTTTAATATTCTATAGGTCTCATTTAGAATATGTTTTAAAAAATATCATGGAATTAATTCTTCAATATTTTAATGTTTTCAGAGAAGAGCTGATAGGGGACCTTCGGAATTGAGTAAGAGGACCCAACAGAAGGAACATGTACGTCCATGGCCAACACACACTTGCTCACAGAGAGCTAGAGGGGCAATTACACTTGCTTTCAGCTGGAGCTGCTAACTGACCTATAAAACAGGCATGAGATTTATCTTTTTGGGCAGGGCACATATGGAACCACATTCATTGTAACCAACATGTGGCTGATTGAGACCCAGAGGTCACATATTTGTGACTTGGTCTTTTTTACCTAGAATAAACAGTCAATTTTGTTCTATATATACTGTATTTACCTTCAGCATATCTGACTAGCTACGAAGTTACTCCCTATATATAGTATCTGCCATGAATCTTGTGGATGTTAACATGCTAGTTACA